CTAATAACACCTGCCATGCCCTGATATTACCGCCTCCCCCCCGTGTTGGTCCGGTGCATCTACCACGCGGCCTGTTTAGGGGGGGGCACTTCTGATAAACAAACACAACACAGAATTACAGCGGTTGCGAATTTCGGTCGGAAAGTAGACTTCCTTAGCCGAAAGGCTCCTCTGTTGCAGCGAAACCCCCAGGCTTAATGGGGTCGGCGCCTTGACTAACAAACATTCGAGGTGGCGAGCATTGTTCCGGCATTGCTTGGTTATAAGTCTCGGCAGTACAAGGGCATTTTGTGGACAGAAGATGGAAATTGAACCGCCGTTGTTAAACCCTAGTCGGTTATGCAATTAGCTGGCTGCGTTGACGAGTGTCGGGCTTGTTAATCTGGCCTGCTGTGATCATCGCCAAAAACAAAAAAGCCGTCCATGCGCACATGCCTTTCCTCCCCAACACATAAGTTCACTTCTTGTACACATCTGTGAAATTTAAAAGAAAAGGTTCGGACCTAATCTTCCTTCCGGCACCAGAGGCAGCCAAAAGTAGGTTAAGGAGGCAAGGGCAAGTAAAAAAGGTTAATGTGCGCGTCACGTGAGGCTCACTCTTCAACCTGCTCGCGCGTTGCCTGATAGGAAACATTGGCGAGCAGTATACGAAAGGGACCACTGTCGGGAATCTGGGCGATCTCCTCTTCAATGCGCACTGACTGAGGGGCGGATGGAAGCTGTGCTTTGATTCGTTGCAGTTCTGAGAGCTTCTCTTTAGATAGGTTAAGCTTGGCCAATGCACTCTCGGGACCTCCATCAGCAACCTGTGGCGGTAAAAGAAGACGAAGCAACTGTGTAAAAATTGCTGATTATGGCAAAATTTTACACACACAAAGAGGAGTTTGGATTACAGTTTTTAGCGCCTCTGACATTCATTCAGATGTGGCCAAAATTAAGTATTGCTTGTACAATGGTTGGGGTCTTTGTAAAACAAAAAAGGCTTATAAAAGCAGGTTAGAAGAAAAGGAACTGGTAGGGATCGTTTGCTTCCTCGGTGGAGGGAAGATCCCAATAAACTGTGTGGATTTTGGAGGGAAAAAATGTGATTACTAATTTGCAAGAACACACTTAACTTAGACTATAAAGAAGAGAAGAGACTACGGGAAATAAAACCCGTATAAGTTGACAAATCGTCCAAAGTCCATCGGCAAGGGTTTCGGAAAAGAAACCAAGAATAAACTCCACACTTTAAGCACGGTCTTACAGATATGGTGACTGTCCCGTCATGATTTTCCTTTCCTGGGAGCAGCACTGGGTGCATGAATGCAAGTGAAGCTAATTCTATGTGTTTTGGTGGCACCGCCGCTGCTGGGGTATGATTGGCGTATATGTCGGACGTGAAAATCTGAGAATTCGACACCTAGCCGCCAACTGACAACATTTTCTTCGGAGGCAGACTGATGGTGTAACGATTGTAACAACCGAAACACCTTTGGAATCTGAATAAAAAGGACGAGCACATGTTCCAGGCGCGTCTAACCTAAGCATAGTTATGCCAGCCACGCTGAAGACAGCAGGAACGAGGAAGCTTGGTGAGGTCGTGACTGTCTAGCAACTACTATTGAATGTGTCTCAGTCGCGCTTCCCAGTATCGTCTGCAAGTAGAACACAATGACATTTTGAGCAGCTATCATTGTTACCATGGGTAAAGAGCATAAGAAGCGGACGAGACGAAAGGCGATACAGATGCGCAACGCCATGAGGGAAAACTCGACAAAAAGTGTACGACGTTATATCGACGACTGTTCTACGAATGGACACCTTACAGACAGATTGAGTGGCATACGTTATATTGGATACAGGTTTATTAGAGGCAGTGACAGTTGAACAGGCTTTCTGACAGTATAAATAGAGTTTCGGCTTATTGATATTCAGAGTTAAGCTTGAAAATGCCTTTAGTTGAGATGAGCTGACTACGCCGAGTAAATTGTAAGTGGTGAACAACGACAACCATCGTTAAAGAGGCTGGGTTTTAGACACAAAACAATTGAACTGGCTGATGGTTACGAGCCTAAACAGAAATCTGAACTCGTAGGGCTTGTATCGTGAGAATACGCTCTGTACATCAAGACCGCAGAACTGACCGCTGCGTCTCACCGCTACATCAAGGAGTTCTGCTAAATTATGAGGATTAATCAGTCCTATAAACGAGTTGGTTTAATGATCAGTAATAAGCCGCGGTTATAGCGGCGCTATCGGGCCTAACAACCCGATGGGGGAAGAAGATCGGCCAGCTTCTAAACGCGCCAGGTTCGGTCAGCCAGGTTAAGTTCAGGTCAGCGCTCGAAGATAACCGTGACTGTAGTTCAAAATCAACGGAATATAGGTCCCTAAAACAATAGAAAAACTGAAAGACAGGAAGACGACGACGATAATTATTTGACATCTGGAATTTGCAACTGACTTTTGACTAAGCCGACAGCTTACTCTAAGCTGGATGGCAAAGAGCGTACAAGCGGACTGGGACGATTGTTTTGTTATAAAAAGGAGACAGCATGGTAGCTTTTAACCTAAACAGATGTATTTGATCAAGACGTTTTGCGAAATCCTTGAACATGTGCCGCTGTCAGCAACAGCTCGTCTCCCGTTTCGCGTTGATTTGATCGCTGTACTGGACTGTGTACATAAAGACCTCTTATAACTGAGTACACTGGGATTAATCCCATTGACTTAAGCTTTTATCTCACAATAAGGGTTACAGTTCAAATAACTAATGAGGACGGAGATGTTCTCGAGGGTGGTTCCGGTGATAGTCGGTGCTATCTTAAATACGTCCATATTGTTGAGATTTCGAAAAACCTCGTTGTAGAAATGCAGTGCTTAGTGTCATATATACATGAGAAGGTTTCCAAGTGAGACAGGTGCAGATGGCAGTCTTGGCATTTTGTAGGGCATTTTATGGACCAAAGTAGAAGGGTGAAATTCGCTAGCTACTCAACAGTTTCTGCTACCTTAGATCGAGTTTCCTATGAAAGGCAAAATGAAAATAAAATGGACTATCGAGTCCACCGAACGCGGGTGACCTTCGACCGAGGCCGTTGGGAGCTTTGGACTCGTCATGTGTTCAGCCTGAATAAAAGCATCGCTGTAAGAGGTCTCTATGACGAAAGGTATCCAATGCCTATGCGGATATGCGGTGCCGGAGCCCTATTCTCCGGATTCACTATTCACGGCTAAATAATCTGCCGAGAAAATTCCTTATTCACCGAGCATGAAAGCCATCCGACACTGAAAAAAACCTTAATTCTTGACGCGACCGACCTCCTGTGACTTTCTTTGTCCTCAGACAGTCATTAACTAGTCCAGGAAAAAGACCGAACCGATACTTTCCGCGAACTAATGAGAGATCTCGCGTTGCCAAGCCTACTTGAAACTGGACTGTACTCTTTGACGTTGCCGCACCTACTGTGTTTCCCGAGGCCCTGTTTCTTTATCCTAACGCGTGTCGGAACCTATCTTTAGTCCGAATCCTTCATTATATGGAGCCGGCCAAAAAGGCCACAAAAAGACCAGGTTCGCGTAAATGATTGTTCCTAGAGAAGAAGTCAGCCTGCATGGAACGCTTTTAAATGGAAAACGTCTTCGGCACGGTGAGGTCCAATGGGTGCCAAACTGATAAAATAAAAGAAGAATTTGCATATCTGACGAAGAAACCAAACACAATGACTTAGCCATTATATGCCTGGTTT